ACAAAAAGAAATAATATTGTTGTCTATCTAGGTGTACTATTCACAGAATCTAATTCTTTTACGATCGTTTCATATCATTTCTTTTTCCATAATTATGAATTAACGGAAGCCTAGTCAATCATAAAAAATCAATTGCAAATTCACAGAATGCGCATCGTAATCTATCGTAAAGTCGTTACGTCAAGAATGGATATTTTTCTATCGTATTATTTTAAAGATTGTAACACATTATGGCTAAATATTTCGTGCATTCTAATTTTTTAATAAGATACTTATGCAAAGAGAATACACACACATAAAGAATCAATCGTGAATTTGCGATTCTTTATAATTGACTAAGTTTCCGTTAATTCATGAATGATTATGGAAAAAGAAACGAATTCGATTCTATGAATAGTATACTTAGATAGACAACGATATTATTTCTTTCGGATTTGATATAGTGAAATGATATATTTCACTATATCGGTAGAAAACAATTAGATTCTCTGCAAATTCCATCAGTTTCTATCGCTTTCTCTTTTTCGTTTATTATTATCATAGAAATATATTACAGTTTAAATTTTAGCTATTTTTGCTGTCTTATAAAGTGACCTCGTAATTGTAATTGTAAATGTGTGGATCTCAAATGATCATCGACGCGAGCCTTAGCACAGTGAGGCAAAGCGTAGGCGCGACGATGCAAGCGGACAGCGCGCGTGTCGTTCCTCTTACCTGATCCAACATTATCATCGTGGCAAAAGAAATAAACTAATGGCAAAGAACGATAAGTATAAGTATAATTAAAATATTGTTCTAAGACAATATTGAGGACGTCTCAATATCCTCAAAATGTCTCTGGAATGTTCTCAGAAGTTCTTGTGCTATCTGGGTTTATTTAAAGATTAAAATGGGACACACTGTATAATGTCTCAGATTATATCCCTCACAGCACAGATGTCCACAGAACATCCTAAAAACATTCTGAAAACATCCTGAAAACATCCTCAGGACATCCTCTAGAGATCTTGTGCTACTTGGAATGTGTAACTCCTCTTTTCTCGCAAAAATATATATTTGAAAAAAAAAATATTTTATATATAAAATTATAGGTTTCTAAATGATACATTAGTTAATAATATTAGTATTTGTCAGAAATAATGATTGTAGACATTTTTCTAATCTTTTCGTGACATTTTAAAAATATTTTTAAAATGTCACGAAAAGATTAGAAAAATGTCTACAATCATTATTTCTGACAAATACTAATATTATTAACTAATGTATCATTTAGAAACCTATAATTTTATATATAAAATTATAGGTTTCTAAATGATACATTAGTTAATAATATTAGTATTTGTCAGAAATAATGATTGTAGACATTTTTCTAATCTTTTCGTGACATTTTAAAAATATTTTTAAAGTATTTTAAAATTATTATTCTATGTGAATATTTAATGAAAAGCAATATTTAATAAATACAAGTATTAGCAAAAAAATATTCAACAAAATTTTTTAATAATAATTTGAGAAAATAAATAATAAATGAAAAAAATAACATTTTAGTAACATTTTTAAAATATTGGCTTTTGATTGGATAGGTGAATGAGAATTGAAATTTTGGAAGCATTAGAAATATAAAAAATGAATTTAAAATTGCGATTAATTTAATCCCATTTTAGATCGTCAACAAAAGTATCAAGAAAAAAGATTTTAAACAGGCAGTTAAAATGTTTTAATATTATTTAACAAGAGTGGGTTAAACCTCATTTTTTTTATTAAAAAAAAACATTTATTACATTTGAAATAATGTTTTGTTAACGTTATAAAAATGTTTTTGTAAATGTGAAGGAAATAAATTTTAAACAAATCTTATAGGTTAAAAAAACATTATTTTAAAAAATTAAATCTTTTTCTAATACAAAAATAAAAAACAAGAGGAATTATTCTATTATTTTTAACATTTTTTAAATGTTTTTCTAAGTTAATTTAGGTAAACATTTAATTTTTTAAAATAATGTTATTTTAAACTTTAGCGATATTAAATAAAATAGATAGGCGAATATTTCAATATCAACGCGTGTATTTGCTAGGTACGTTATAATATATTGTGAACACTGTAAGTATATATTTTATAAACATAAATTGTAAGAACTTCGTTGGAGTCATTGAAATCACTGCGTGCCGCTCGATTGTTAGGTTAAGCAACGTAGTCAGGATGAAATGGTGACCGGCATACCGCTCTAGATTAAAAATTATCGAGGGAGGATTTGCAAAAGTTTTAGAGTGTATTTGACAACCTTCGGTTTCTAGCAGTTATAAGACATGAGAAAATTAGGAATTAGTTTTTTTTATGAAACAATTAGAATAAATAAGTCCTTTTTTCATAAAAACGTTTATTTTAATGTTTGAAATAATGTTTTTTTAACGTTATAAAAACATTGTTTTAACATATGGAAAAAAATTATTTTGAAACGTTTTTATAAACGTTTATAAAAACGTTAAAATAATGGGATAAGTTCTATTTTTTTCATTACAAAAACGTTTGTTTTAAATAATGTTTTTTTAACGTTATAAAAACATTTTTTTAACATTTGTGTGTGAAGAAAATGATTTTTAAACGTTTTTATATCGTTAAAAAAACATTATTTTTAACATTAAAATAAACGTTTTTTTAATAAAAAAAAGAAGACTTATCCTATTATTTTTAACAATATTTTCCAAATGATTTTAAAACATTTTATAAACATTTTTTTAATATTTTTTTCCTGATTGGAATACTATTCACATTTCTGAATTGACGAACCAAAACTCTCATAGAAATTTAATACTAATAAGTGATTTTAGCCAATGATAATTACTGTCGTTCAATAATTTTATTATTCGTATGAGTAATAAAATTACTATTTATTATTAGCCAATTTATCACAGCCAGTGATACTTTTCTATAAGGGAATCCATATTCAAAACGATAGAAAACGATAGAACGATAGAATTTTATTCTCTATAAACTTTTTTTACCAAGGTTCCCTTATAGAAATATCATACTAAGAATCATTGATAATTACTTATTATCCAGTATTTTTAATACTGAAAATAAGTAATTATCAATGATTCTTAGTATGATATTTCTATAAAGATTTGCAGAAAAATATCAGTGTCTGTTAGTAAAGTTTTCAGCTTCAGCATCGCCTTAAAACAGTAGTATTTTCATTAATCGACAATAATACTATTGTTCTTAGTAATTTTCTTATAGTATTTTTTCGTAAGGAATGTAATGTACACGTTGAGACTAAATTTGAGTATCAAATAATCGAAATATACATTTTAAAACTCGCGCTGTATGCGCGCTGTACAGCAACTGGCGCGCCTTGCCGTTTTCGCCTGTACGTATGTAGGACGTGCACGATTACACGTCCACGCCCGAAGGGATCCGAAGTGATCCGAGGTGAGCAGAAGCGAATGCTTGTATCAGTAAGTCGTTTTGACGTTGGCACGTTCGTGTATTTATTCACTATGAGCGCTTGGATGCAGTACTTTAAATCCATTCCAACGCACATGGTAAGTTACAATATCCTTAAATGACTGTTTTAAATATTTATTAAACTATTGCATCTTCTGTGATAATTTTACAATGACGATAATTCCCTTGTGCGAGGTTATGTTATCGTACACCATCTGTAAATGTAATTATAACTTTTGATACATTCCTCGTAATTATTATAATAATTTATTTATTATTTATACTATTATTACAATTTATAATGTTATTACAACTGCATTGCATGTAAGTAAATCGCAAATACTATACTTGCATTTACATATAAGTTTTCGCACATTATATTCCTTGTTTTAGGACTATGATGGCCAAGCTAGAGCAGAAAGATTAGCAAGAGTGATAATAACGTTATTTGGTGTAAGTTCTAGAGTATTTTTTAGATATGTTAATATATACATAATACTTATATACATGTGTATATATATATATATATATATATATATATATACATACACACACATATATATCTAATATATATCATATATATCTAATTTTAATATACTTTAGGTTGTTGGCTTATATACATATATATCTAATTTTAATATACTTTAGGTTGTTGGCTTAACCTGGGGATATGTAATTCAACAATTTTCACAAACAATCTATATTTTGGGTGCTGGATTTGTTATGGCAGCATTAATTACTGTACCTCCATGGCCTATGTATCGTCGCAAACCATTGGATTGGCAAAAACCACAATCAGAAGTTACTATGAAACCTAAGAAGAAGAAATAATTGTACGACAGCTCTGTGATATTCTAATTGAAAACTATTATAGTAAAGCATTGTGCGATTTTACTCGTACAAATTTAATTCCTAAAAGTGAAAATCTACACATACCATTCAGCATTTTTCTTGATACGATTATGACACAAAAGTGTGCAATGTATGAATAGACAGGTGTGAACGTGAAAAACTTGACTCTTTTTGTAAGATATACTATCTATAATTTAATATTTCTTGCATAAATACAAGTTGTAAATAAAGTAATACATTTATAAACTTACAATAATTATGTTTTAACAACCAGCTAGCAGAATCTCATAACATTAAATTTAAGGGAAGTTTGTTTTTAATTGTTTTTAGAAAAATAGGATTGTTAAAACTACTTTATTCACAAGTTGAATATGCAACAAAAAATATTGCATATTCTATTGCTCTTTTTAAACTCAAATTTAATTAATAGAATGTTGATGGAAACATGAATTTCTCTTCTAATGTTCCGTATATAACAAATATGTATTTTCTTCTATAATAACTTAATAATATTAATAATATGAAAAAAATTTGCATTTCTGAAGATTTAAAAAAAAAATTGTTTCTTATCATAACCATATGTAGTACAATAAAGTGTATAAAAAAGTATATGAGAGAAGGTGGTAATAAAACAAGGTAGATTTTCTCAAACAACACTACGATTTTTCAACTGAAATAAACCTAACCATTAGAGTCCTTATTAATTATCAAAGGGACGTCAGCGCCACGTTATTTACAGTTATTTATAGTGTTAAGAAAAGTTGCTTTGTTCTTTTTCTTGTTAAAACCACAAAGTAAAATACAAAAACCTTTTCTATCTTAATTAATAGCTTTAAATATTGATTATAATATGTCGATTCATAATAAGATTAAACTTTAAAATTGCAGTGTTGGTTATTTGGAAATATTTTTTCCTTCAAGATTTGAGACACTTGAAAAATAGCAATGAATAGTAACATAAAGTGTTCCATATTACAAACACTTTTTTCAGATGTCGCTATGCTAGGAAGAAATTAGAACAAGAAAATAAGAGACATACCTTAAGTAGTGAATGTGAAAGTGAAGTTTCTTTTATTTGAAATTTCTATCCTAAGATTTAAAAGACTTATACGCTTTGAATTAAAGTTAAGTTTATTAAACTTCTTTTTATTTTTATAAGAAAATGTTTTTTTTCATTTTTAACTTATAATTTTTATATTCAAAATAATTCGATAAAAAAGTTGTAATGTCAATAATTTATAATAACAAAAAGTAAACTTTTTTTTTATATATTTATAATAACATATTATATATTTATAATAACAAAAAGTAAACTTTTTTTTTTATTTTTATGCTTATTTCATATTACCATTTATTTTCTAAAGCTCACATTAATAATCATTACTTGAAACTCATCTCAAGTGAGATACAATTAGATTTCAATTTTGAGCTAGATGAGAATTGTTCTATTGAATTGCGACTATAGATATAAATGTCACATGTATCATAATTCAACTAAAGAATTTGGATCTGATTTTGAATAAAAATCTAAATATCTCCTCTGAGACAAGTTTCAAGTAACGACTGTTAATACGGATCTAAAATTCTTCTTGCAGCTTCTTGTCTAAAAAAATTTTTTGTTTTTTTCAACAATTTATATTTTTTATAAAAATTATAAATACATTATAAAAGATATATTTGCTAACACGTTTAACAATTATTGATACAATTATTATATTTCCGTTTATAACAAAATAGTCTATATTATAAAGTTGTGGAAAAGCTATTTTTGTTTTAATAACTCATTACCTTATTTGAAAAAAGTAATACATTGTTATTGTTTTTATTTATCTTGAAGGATAATTCGTTATCATTATTATTACTCAAAAAATAAGGAGAGTATAATTTCCATTACTTTTTCATTTGTTTTAAAGATTTTTCTTTATGATTTACTATCACTTATATATTTGCCATTTGTATATGTATTCTATATATAAAATATATATAGTATTATATATATATATATATATATATATATATATATATATATATATATATATATATATATTATATATATAGTATATTATATATATAGTATATACTATAATATATATAGTATTATATATATAGTAGTATATATAATATATATAGTATTCTATATATAAAATAACGATTATATTTTCTAGGCAGCAACGTGACGTGATTTTCACGTCAGTTTTTGGTCACTAGTGACGTCAATTATCCTTTTATAATCACATAATAATGACGAAAATGACCGAAATAAGTCATAGTTCACCGACGTAATAAAACGTGAAAGTGACGTCATAAAATGACATAAAAATGATATGTCGGAATATCCTTATTCGGTTCTATTTTCTAACATAAACTATTTGTAAATGACACAGCATTTGCTGATTTTACTTGAAAATTTTAGATTACTTGATTCCAATGTTACATCATTTTAAAAATTCTCACTGGCACTGGGACTCGAACTTGGACTATGAGACATCTCTGGATTATGAGTCTATTGCTTTACACTACATCACTTCTTCGATCAATATAAACGTCTTATATTTTGTTTATATGTGTTGTACTTAACACAGTGTAATATAATTTTTTGCTAATATGATTTAATAAAATATTTAATTTTAATAAAAATTATATTTTTCGTACCTTTATTGTTAATTTAAACTCTAGCTCTTTTTAAAGTAAGGTCTACAAAATCCCGCACATTCCATTTCGTTATCTTTAAATTTTTATAGTAAACATTTTTTTATTGTTAAATGTTATTAATCTTCTAACCGTGTTTGTTTCGGATATACTTTGACCGTGTTCAGGATCTAAATAGATCCAATGGTGAGAACTCACTATTTAATTGATATATATGTATTTTTTGGTATCTTTTATTTTAGCATTATATAAAATAATTTAGTGCAATACGTATTGACTCTTTCTAAAATAACTCGAAAAGTCACGAAGTATCACATTTGTATTTTAGAATATTAGAAAAACTGTGTGAACTTTAAAACTGCTCTGGGTCAAAAAAACTCAGAGCACGGCTAGAAAGTTAAATAGACAAAGTCATGAAAGACTATAAATTTTGAGTAATTATAAAAGAGTATAATTTAATAAAAGAAAAAATCCACCTTGCTATATAAGATCTAATTAAATTAATTAAATTTATGTGTATATATATATATATATATATATATATATATATATATATATATATATA